TGAAGGGTTTTGTGGCCGAAAAATCAATTACTTAGTGAATGTTGGTCCAATTAGGGCCTAAATGAGGTTTCTTAACCCAAAATAATCAAATCGAGATTTTATTGGCCAATTAGGCCCAATAAGAGGGTCCTGGTCCAATAAAAGTTTGAACCAGAAAATTAGGGTTACAACCCAAAGTCGAGTGTATGAAATGCATTGAATTAGGTTTTGGGCTTCTCGCGTGAGTTTTGATTTGAGCAGTTGCTTTTGAATTGAATAACATGAATAACTTCAAGATTCACCAAGAGTTAATCATACATAGATAGAATTTCATAGCCAAAAATGCTAGTTGTGACAAAGTCAATAGTCCATGTTGACCAAACTCGTCGAGTACATCTCATTGACTTATCGAGCCCTTCCAAAACTCGAGAAATCGTGAAAACCCTAGTTGACTCACTGAGTTTCCAGACAACTCGTCGAGTCCATGCGAGTCCAAATGTCGGGAAAACCCTAACTGACTCGTTGAGTCATCTCGCTGACTCATCGAGTCCATGCAGAAACCAACAACGACCAATCTTCATTTGACTCGACCAGTTGGACCATGCAACTCGTCGAGTCCTTTTAGTCTATTTCTCATTCAGACGTTTTTAAGCTACCCCAAAGCTCAAAATTACAAATCTAACCTCCTTAGGCATGGTTTCCACGTAAAGTTGCAAACTTTAGGTACATGCAAGGTCCTAAATGGCAAAACCAAGCTAAGGGAGAGGTTTTAAATAAGGGGAAGGCCATAACTTGCCAAAGACTGGAACTTTATGATTGTAAGGGCTTAAAGGAGTCCAGATCTAAAGTTACAACTTCAAAGCATGCTCAATACCCGAAATAACCCACAACTAACTAGAAAATGGCTCTAAACCTTTTCATGAAGAGATCTAGCTAAAGATAAGTCAAGGTAATGACTTGTTACCTCCAAGATGATGCCAAGATGAAGTAGAAATCAGATCCACAAGCTTCTCCTTGCTCCAATCTCCTTAGACTTCAAGCTTTCTTCACAAATCCACTTTCCAAGCTTCTTTACACACAAAAATGGAGAGTAGGAATGATTAGGGTTTTTTTAGCTCAATTGGGACGGTAAGGGAGGTAGAGGGAGGTTAATGGCCCTTTAAATAGGATGTAAAACCCTGGAAATTAGGGTTTCATTTTCCAGCTCCTACTCGTCGAGCTGGGGTACTCCAACTCGTCAAGTAGACCCCTTAAATCCATACGGCCTGAATCGTTTCTACACGACGATTTGGGGCATCCAACTCGTCGATTAGGTCCAAGAACATGACTATAAGCTTTAGATTTTTATACCTGGGAGTCGGGATGTTACATGCCCTATCAATGTGAATATAAACTAATTAAATTTATTCGTGGGAGTCGGGATGTTACAAAACTGAATAACACACTGCTCTAAAATCAACTATACAAGTCTCATTTATAAGTTTAGTGAGATGATCTCATAATACATATCAAAATACCCAAAATATCCCTAGGCCAAATATAGGTCAAAGTCAACCGAGTCAACCTGGTGAGTAAGCTAGGCGTACTCAACACGTACGCGGGGCGTGCTACATACTTGACCAAAGTCGAGGAGTTGACCACATACACGCAACGTATCCTTTGGTGCACCCAACGTACGTAGCTGCCACCCATCCATTTCATCAAGAGCTTAATCCTTAAGCTATTTTGTCCAAACTCCAAATCTAGCCGTAAAAAGACATCCTTAATAATAAAGTTTCAACTTTGTGATATTGCATGGCTATTAAGTGCTCAACACCACAAACCCTAACTTATTAACTCATTAAGACAACCTAGATCATGCATGGAAAAAAACTAATGCCCAAGATCATATTTTTATGGCTTTAACATGCCATATAACATCTGAAATGACAACTCAAACGTCTTGGAGTACTCCATACTCACAAGGATCAAGATTGGGACAAAAATGTGCCAGCTTTAAGCTAAAACTATATTTAAATGAAATACGCATCAAGGTTGGAGCTTTATACCTCTAAAAGGTGCATAAGGGAATGCGAGTGCTGGATCCAAGGCCTTGAGTGAAAACACTACAACTTAAAAGCTCTTCCTTCCTCTCCAAAAGCTCCAAAATGGCATTAAAAGACTCTCCGAGCTTCAAAATGCACTCACACGCTTTAGAGTTTCGAAATGAGGGAGAAGGTTGGAGTTAAGAGAGTGTATAAGGCCATAAAGATGTTTAAATAGGGTTTAAACCCTAAAGATTAGGGTTTGTACCCTTGCTACCCCAACGTACGTCCAACATGGCTAATAATTACAAAACGCCATTAGGGACAAACTTTGCAATACAATCACCAACCAAAGGGTCAAAAAGGAAAATACCAGAAAATCAAGATGTTTCATTTGTTGTTCCATTTGTTTCTATAATTGTATAAATATAATTGTTTGCACTCAAATTTGCAGTTCATCTTTGATGATCACAAACTTTTAATTTCTTTGTTTTTTTTAGTTTGGATATCATATAATGTTTAATTTGGATGTTAAACTTTATGTTTAATTTGAATTTTATACGACGTTTTATATTTTATTTATAATTATTTATAAATTCAATATCATTCAACACTAAATAACCAAGGGGGTTAAAATGACAATTTTCACTCGATTTCTAAATACAAATTCATGCCAAAAATACCGTTAGCACATATGCTATGTTTGACGCACTAACTGAAAAGCTATAGCTGAAAAATTAGCTGTTAAATAAAAAGCTAGCTGATAAAAAATGACGTTTGGTAACACCAAACTAGCTGAAAAATATGAAATAACATAAAAAGACATTTAAACAAATGTGTTTTTATAATTAATTAAGTATATAAAAAAGTTTTTAAAAAGCTAGTCTAAAGGGGTGTTTGATTTATTTTTTTGAAAGATAAAAGTTTTTTTTTTTGAAAAAGTCACAAAAAGTCAACTTTTCTAAAAAATCAGTTCTCCTTCTATCTAAAATCCAAAAATAGCTTTTTAAAGTGCCAAACACTTTTTTAGCTTTTATATTTTCCAAAAGGGATAATGACTTGAAAGGGTAACGAACTTTCGACTTTTGTTACATTTAGTCACTAAACTTTTTTTCGTTATCAATTTGCCATTGAACTATTGAAACTGTTCACATTTTACCCTTATGACCGGTTGTTGCCGGTCATAAGGGTAAAATGTGAACCGTTTCAATAGTTCAATGACAAATAGATAACGAAAAAAAGTTTAGTGACTAAATATGAACAAAATCGAAAGTTCGTTTCCCTCTAAAAAGTTCAATGACTAAATGTGAACAAACTTCCTCTTGTATTATGTTTTAGCAAGTTATTTATTTTTGTTAAATTGTAGCAACATTTGTTGATGAAGAAATCTATGAAATAAAAACAAAACAAAACCCTGAAAATATATTTAAAAAGAAAACAAAAAACCAAAACCGAAATAAAAAACCAATGGTTTGACATTTTCCAAAATAAAAAATCAAAATTTCCAATCTGATTTTGGTTTTACAAAAAAATGAACCATTCTCATTGATGTGAATTATGACCATTGGTTTGACATGCGAAATTTGTGACATCCCATGAATATGTAGTTACAACATCGTCTGAACTCGTAATTCATAGTAAGGGGTTAGAGTATCATCACATGAATACGTAGTTACAACATCGCCTGAACTCGTAATTCATCACCTACAGGTTATGGGCCTGCTGGTGTTTCCGTTGGGTTGTCTAGAATAGTCCGTGGTCGCCATCTATACTCCGGTAGATGACTACATCGCCACATTGCTGGTTAAGGTTATGGTATCTCCTTTCATCTTACATCACATATTCATCATCATCTATTTACCTAATTATCACAACCTTTCTATAATCACCTATCTCTCATCATTTTATTTCATCACACACCAACTATTTCATCTACCCATGTTTCATCCGCAACATATTTGTAGATATAAAATAAATATACCGTTTAAATCTTTTAAAACATGTATAAAATCGTTCATCCAACATAGACAGCAAGTATTCAAACAATATGCACACATAGTACGTAATTTATATAAAATACATCATATCTATGTGTAAGATGAAAGTAACTATATATACCATAAATGCTTCCTAACTTTGAACCCTAAGGTTTACTCTACTAAAGCTTCATATTCTCGGCTCTCTGAACCTAGAAGGGTCCAGATCTATCACACCAAAAAGCTCAAGATAGCTCTTCCTCTCACTCTACACACTCAAGCTCGCTAGGGTTCTCACTTATGGGAAAGGTAGTCGCAATTGAAGGCCATACGTGCCTTTAAATATGGCTCGAGCCCAAAGATTTAGGGTTTCTGCCAACAGCGCGGACTCGTCGAGTCACCTCACCGACTCGTTGAGTCCATTCATTAATCCGAGTCATCAGTCACGATCTTACTCGACGAGTTGAGGCATCAACTCGTCGAGTCTCTCTTCTTAACTCAAGAGAAAAATACTTAAATGATAATACCTGAAAATCCGGATGTTACATTTTGTTTTTTTTATTTCTTAGATTTCTTCATCAACAAATGTTGCTACAATTAAACAAAAATAAATAATTTTGCTAAAACATAATACAATAGGAAGTTTGTTCACATTTAGTTATTGAACTTTTTAGAGGGAAACGAACTTTCTATTTTGTTCACATTTAATCACTAAACTTTTTTTCATTATTTATTTGCCACTAAACTATTGAAACTATTCACATTTTACCCTTATGACCGGTAACAGCCGGTCATAAGGGTAAAATGTGAAAAGTTTCAATAGTTCAATGGCAAATAGATAACGAAAAAAAATTTAATGACTAAATATGATAAAAATCGAAAATTTATTACCCTTTTAATTCATTATCCTTTCCAAAAATGACTTTTATTTTTTTTATCATGCAAAAACACGACAATTTACGAAAGCTCGAAAGCTATTTTTTCGGTTACCTTTAGCCCGTGTCAACTCGTTACGTCTTAACCCACATATTATTATACAACCCTTGTATCTCCCCTCTTCTGCCATTTTATCAAACCCTAGCAAACATTTAACCTCTTATCAACAAATTTTCAATCATAATCACTTTCGTTTTGTAAGAAGCCCCTGATTCGTCAACCTAACTTCTTTGATTTTCCTCAGCAAACTATGGATTCTCAACCCAACAACTTATACGAAACGGCGTCTCAACCCGATACCGGCAACGATGACGCCTACACGTTCCTGGAATTCAACACGCAAGGCGAAGAAGACTTCAATTACCCGGAGTTTCAAGAGCTCTCACAGCCCAATGCCGTTCGATCTTCACCCTCGTCATCAGTATGGCCCACACCGTCCGACTCTATATCCGTCGACACCTCCGCCGCCGTCGACCACCGCTCTGACAGCAACGCCTCCCCTGGTTCGGCAACTTCGGGAAAGGGTGGTGGTGGTAGGGGGAATAATAATGTTAATCAGCCGTCGGCGGTCGATGCCCTTGCTGCGGGGATGAGCGGATTGAATTTTGAAGAGACTGGGGATGATGAGAGTTATGAGTATGGTAAGGGGGATTTTATGGAGCATGCTTGTAAGTATTGCGGGGTGCAGAATCCGGCGTGTGTCGTCAGGTGTAACGTGCCATCTTGTCGGAAATGGTTCTGTAATTCAAGGGGGAACACTTCTGGTTCTCACATTGTTAACCATCTGGTAAGTGTAAATTGACTTTGTTTATTACGTCGTTTGTTTTCATATTGGAATTACTTTTATTAAACTGGCAATGACTTTCTGTAATTGTAATAAACACAAGGATCGAAACATAGAACATGTTATGTAAGATTTTCAAAAGTCGACCATGGTCTTTGGATACAATTTCGTGAAGGGCTTTTTGCAGAGCGAATTCTAATAGGAGAGGCAGGGTTAAGTAATTACTGTCCTATGTTATTCTTATAAGATAGATTCTTGTGGCGTAATGAAGCTTGAGTCATAGTTATATGAAACTTTATGTCTGCAGATTTGTGCAGTCTTTCAACTGATGACTTTAGGGTTTTTGACAAAGGCCTTGTGCCTAGGCATCATGATGCCATTTCGTTTGGTTGAAACTTAGTCGAGTCTTAACATGTATATGTAAAGTTGTATTTGGGCCATGGCCAAGCCAGCCATGTCTGAGGTAGCAGACTCCCATTAGCATTTTGCTATTATTTTCTGCTATAGATTAGGACATTGATGTTTCTGGTTTGCTATTTTTTCCCAAACAACTGAGGGTTATAGTTAAGCTGTTAAGGATGTAAAGGGTACGTTAACTATATCTCTGATCTTTAGTAGTTATTATTCGTTTTCCGTAATGAGTTCTGTGGGTGTCAGGATAAGGTGGGAGGAGTTTGAGGCTGTTTGATACTAAAATTTAGGTAGCATAGGGTGATTGCTATATAGGAACAATTTAGGGTTTATTCTGGGTATTAATTGTAACATCATGTTAAAGTCAAGAGTGATTGGATGCGTAGTGTTTTAAGTTAATACCAAAGATGATGTGAGGTTTCTTCATTGTCTGGGTACTTCTGTGAAGTGGTTCACTATTCTCTTTACTTTTTCTCCGAGGTTGGAAGGTATAGCAAAGTGGCGTTAAAGCTCTGGATTCACTTTTGGTTAGGCATATCACCTTAGTCGCAGCATCCGCATGTACTGATGTACATCAGATTGGTACAAGATAATCATGAAGTATCTATTCCTAACTATCATCAGTATATATTTGGTTAACAAGTGAAGGGATAATGGATGATTGATTTTCTAACTAAGGCATGAAAAAAATTTATGGCTCAGTTTACTATACCCATGATTGCTTTTTTCAGGCTAATTTGTTGGCCTTTTTGCAGGTTCGAGCTAAACATAAAGAAGTGTGCCTTCATAAAGACAGTCCTTTGGGAGAAACAATTCTTGAATGCTATAACTGTGGATGTCGAAATGTTTTCCTTCTGGGATTTATTTCAGCCAAGACCGAGAGTGTGGTTGTTCTACTTTGCAGGGAACCATGTCTAAATGTGAATGCACTCAAAGACATGAATTGGGACTTGAGTCAGTGGTGTCCACTTATCGATGATAGATGTTTCTTGCAGTGGCTTGTTAAGGTTAGCTGTTAGCATAGACACACACACACATATACAGATCTATTTTCTGTGTTTTCATGATTGTCCGACACATAGAGTTGAAGAAAACTTGTTAGTATCTAAAAAGGGTTGTTAAGGTTAGCCTTGTGTTGTTTTTGGTTTGAAACTGGTTACATTTGTGACATTGCAGGTTCCATCTGAACAGGAGCAGCTTCGGGCACGTCATATTAGTGCTCAGCAGATTAATAAGGTGGAAGAACTTTGGAAGACAAATCCTGATGCTACCTTGGAGGATCTTGAGAAGCCTGGTGTAGATGATGAACCCCAGCCTGTAGCCTTGAAATATGAAGATGCCTATCAGGTTTAAATGCTTGTAGTTGGTTATTCCCTTGGAACACTGTTAAATATCTAGTTTCTTATAATAATAATAATGTCTTTGGCATCAGATATCATTTGTATTTGTAATAGTAATATTGTAACATGGACTTTGTGGATGCAGTATCAAAATGTGTTTGCCCCACTCATCAAACTTGAAGCTGATTATGATAAAGTAAGCAATGCTTCCACTTGTTTTCTTTCTAATTAATATCCTTTTCTTCAGACGAAGAGAAGTTAATATGTGGTGGTTGAAAATTTGTCTCTGATCTGAAGCATGTTTGTTGTTTTGTTTGATAGATGATGAAAGAATCTCAAAGCAAAGACAACCTGACGATTCGGTGGGATATTGGTCTTAACAAGAAGCGTATTGCATATTTTGTTTTCCCGAAGGTGATATAGAGAGTGTTACGTTTATTTTGTTTTTTGATTTCCAAATTGGTTTTATGTTAAAAACGATGAGTAATACTAATGCAGGAAGATAATGAGTTACGTCTTGTACCTGGCGATGAGTTACGACTGCGGTACTCTGGGGATGCTGCTCATCCAGCTTGGCAGTCAGTTGGACATGTGGTGCGTCCCTGTTCCTTTAGCATGTATTTGCATAGTTGCATGCTTAAATGGTTATTACATGTTATGTGTTAAAGCTTGTTTGAGTTGTTAGTGCTTCTGTTTATTTATTAATTAGTTTCTCATTTTCTTCTTTCCAGATAAAACTCACTGCACAAGAGGAGGTGGCTCTCGAGCTTCGTGCGAGTCAGGTGGTACTATCATGATTTCTGATGCCTTATTTGTCCTACTGGTTTCAGTGCTTACTGGTGATGATGTTTGCAGGGAGTACCTGTTGATGTGAACCATGGTTTTAGTGTTGACTTTGTGTGGAAGAGCACAAGTTTTGACAGGATGCAGGGTGCAATGAAAACCTTTGCAGTGGATGAAACAAGTGTCAGCGGGTGGGTTGGATATTAATTAATATTATCATCTTAAATTAAATTCAGTGTGCTGGTGATTATTTTGTTATTTTGGTGTTGAAAGAGGATAAGATGTTATTTTCTTAATATTTATAAAGAATAAGGAAAACAAAGTGTAGACTGTTAAGGCAATCTTTCTTTGTTTATGATTTATGAGATTTTGGCTTTGCGGGTGATTATAGTTAGGTGTGAGTGTGCACTATATTCTTTAGGTTAGGGTTACTGCTTTTAATAATAATAATAATAACACACAGTGATGCCATTGATGTAATGCAGGTATATTTACCATCATTTGTTAGGCCATGAGGTTGAGTTTCAAATGGTCCGCAATGCATTACCCCGCCGTTTCGGTGCACCTGGTCTTCCGGAGCTTAATGCATCTCAAGTAGGTTTTTCTTACCATATATTTATCGTATGCTTAAATGATTGTAGTATTTGATTTTGATATCACACAATAAGGACAGGAATACACAGCATTTCTTCCTGGCATCATGGCCTTCTGTTTCTTGGTCATTTGATCATCTAAAAATTAAAATAGTCTCGGTCTATAGAACCTTTAGAGTGGACATGATATCATCTTCTATTTATCCATCCTTGGGCTACTTTGGGCCGTATAGGTTAAGCAATATTGATTTTTCATACATTCTCTATAGGGCTAAAGGCAAAAGAAGTAAAGATGCACTCTTTCTTGTTTTTTTTTTTTTTTTTTATTTATTTATTTATTTATTTATTTATTGTGTACTAGTATAGCATCGTGCTTTTGATCTTTTTTCTTAATAAGCATTCTATTTATAAGCGTTATGATGACATCCTACTTCCATTTGTTTTTCTTGTTAGGACATTGTACTTTGATAAATCTATCCAATTATATCACTGGAAATTGCTTTGTTTTTTGGACGACATTGCTGTAGTTAGGTAGATTTCTCAAAGTACAATGCTATATTAGGAAGAATGAAAGTAAGATGCTACAATAAACAAATAAACAAATGCTCCCTGCTACCAACTTTTCCCTAGTAGTTGTATGATGTCTAAGCTTGTTGTATTGTTTCTATCACACGAATCTTTTATGTGGATGGCCTGACTTGCTGCATTAATGGGTAGGTTTTTGCTGTAAAAAGTGTCCTCCAGAAACCAATAAGCTTGATTCAAGGGCCACCGGGCACTGGGAAAACAGTCACTTCGGCAGCAATTGTTTATCACATGGCCAAACAAGGCCAAGGACAGGTATTATTACTGCCATCATTTTTAATATTTTAAAGAATACAAGTCAATTTTATGACAGATTATGACGGTTATTTCAACTAAAAATAGGTTCTGGTATGTGCACCTAGCAATGTGGCTGTAGACCAACTTGCAGAGAAGATAAGTGCCACTGGCTTAAAGGTAGCCACATTTATCAAGTCTTTCTTTCTGCATCAAGTAAAACTGTAAAAAAGAAACACCCATAGGCATACATATATCTTACCGGATTAAGTCCATTAAGTTAAACAGAAACAATACCCAAGAGATGTTCTTGGTAACAGTTTTTTTTAATAGGTTGTTCTATGCAACCAACATCTAAAATAGTTGCATTTTAGAGATTTGTTGCTTCTATTGTTTACGTCGGTATTTATCATAACCAGGTTGTACGACTGTGTGCTAAATCAAGGGAAGCTGTTAGTTCACCCGTTGAGCATTTAACCCTCCATTATCAGGTTTGTTTGTTTTTCATAGCATCTTAGTTATGCATAGTTGCATTTCAACTCTCATCTAAAAGATCTGTTCAATTTCAATTGGTTTCTTTGAAGGTCCGTCATCTTGATACTTCTGAAAAGAGTGAACTTCACAAGCTGCAACAATTGAAAGATGAACAAGGTGAGAGCGTAGCCCAACACATTTTCTTTTTTTGTTTTTCCCCAAATATAGGGCCAAATGCAAGAAATATCAACATACTATCATTAACTTGTGTGTTTTATATCATCCCATTTTCAGTTGTTTCTATTACAAGATTCTACTTCCAGTTTATTTTTTTGGCAAGGCATTGTAGCTTGAAAAATCTACCAATTATAACATTTCACTTTAAATATTTTTCTTATTAGGACAATATACTTTAAAAAAAATATTTTTCTTTTATTCCTTTGTCATCTTTTTTGTCTTTGTTGCTTCTTATTTCTCCTTCTTGTATACAGTTCTGCTTTGTGCTTATTATGATTTCATTTACTTGCTTTTCTAGATCTATATGCAGGCTACTGCATACCGAGTTACTAACAAGTTCACTTTGTTTATAATAGTGCTAAATACATCTCTTATTGCATACTACTTCCATTTGTTTCTGTTACAACATTGTGCTTTGAAAAAATCTACCCAATTATAGCAATGCCATTTAGATAAAAAGCAAAATTTCATTGTTATATTTGTGTAGATTTTTCAATGTACAATGCCTAATAATTTTTTTTTTTGAAACTACAATGCTTTAACTGGGTAGATTTATGAGAGTAGAATGTCTTGATAAAAAATAAAATTGGAAGTAGAAGGATGTAATGTAAGTAAGAAAGATGCTGTATTAAACAAATTAATGAAAGTAAGGTGCCATTTTGTTGCATTTAGTTGTTTACAGTTTTAGAAAAAGTAGAATCAGCTGACCTCAAGAAGATTTTCTTTTCCTAGCACCATTAATGCCATTTATACACCTGAGCTGATCTTACTGACTTGTTTGAGGGTACTTTTCAAAATTATGGTTGTAGCCTGCCCTTGAGGTGACAGATTTATTTGCTAACTTACGCAGGGGAACTGTCCAGCAGTGATGAGAAAAAGTATAAAGCACTGAAGCGCGCTACAGAACGAGAGATATCTCAGAGTGCTGATGTCATCTGTTGCACATGTGTTGGCGCTGGAGATCCTCGGTTGGCCAATTTTAGATTTCGTCAGGTTAACATTTTTATTTTTAGTTTATGGGAAACATGGTTATTATTTCTCATGTTATGAATTTTACAGTTTATTTTCTTTATCAATATTATTTTTAGGTGCTTATTGACGAATCTACTCAATCAACTGAGCCTGAGTGTCTTATTCCTCTTGTTCTCGGGGCAAAGCAGGTACATATATATATATATATATATATATATATATATATATATATATATATATATATATATAGCTTGTATTGCATGGTTATTGTTTGTATCACACATCACAGTTGTACTTTCTATTCTATCCATGTGCTAGGGATTATCACAGTTATTCTAATGGAATGTTTTTGTATTAGGTTGTTCTTGTTGGTGATCATTGTCAGCTCGGTCCGGTTATCATGTGCAAAAAAGCAGCTCGTGCAGGGTTAGCTCAATCACTATTTGAGCGACTTGTGATGCTTAGTGTCAAACCAATTAGATTGCAGGTCTCTCTCTTGACCGATTCCCATTTCTTTGAAAACATTTTGCCAAGAATCCCTCCCTCTTCAATGCATCATGTTTGTGAAGCTAGGCCTTACATGCCTTTTTTTTGTTTACCTCTACATTTACAGGTTCAGTATCGGATGCATCCATCACTTTCAGAGTTTCCTTCCAATAGTTTTTACGAAGGTACCCTCCAAAATGGAGTGACAATCAATGAGAGGCAATCACCAGGAATTGATTTTCCCTGGCCTGTGCCAAACCGTCCGATGTTCTTTTATGTCCAGGTATCTACAACTAATCTCTGCATGCTTTTCATTCACATGCGACATGGCATATATTTCCTTTACAAGTGTGACAATGTCATATTGACCTCAAGCATCAGCATCAGGTTGTTACTGCTTTGGAATTTTGCCATGTCTTCAGTATACTCTCGCGTCGTCAATCAGCAATATACTTTAATAATATATACCAAAATAGGCAACACACATTGCAACCTTTGATTAACCTTTACTTGTGGTTCCTCTAATATTTTTGTAGATGGGACAAGAAGAAATTAGTGCTAGTGGAACCTCCTATCTTAACAGGACTGAGGCTGCAAATGTTGAAAAAATAGTCACCACTTTCTTAAGGAGCGGTGTAGTTCCAAGTCAGGTAAGTACATTATTCTTTACTTTTTGGCCTTTGATGGGTGATTATAAATATAAATGAATTTAATTTATGCAGATAGGGGTTATAACACCGTATGAAGGGCAGCGTGCGTACATTGTTAACTACATGTCAAGAAATGGTGCACTTAGGCAGCAACTTTACAAGGAAATTGAGGTAACATATGCATCTTTTTGTAATCTGTAAAGCCTAAAAGTTTATCAAAACAAATGCACTTAGAACTAACTGTTTGTAGGTTGCAAGTGTCGATTCGTTTCAAGGACGGGAAAAAGACTACATCATTTTGTCATGTGTGAGAAGTAATGAACATCAGGTTGGTTGGTGTAGTTATGGTCGTTGTATTTGTGTCCTTTTAATTACTTTACTGCCGAATGCTGATCCTTTTATCTATACAATGATTCCTACAAGTTATATTTCATCTATAATCCTTAGAATGATAGCTTCATTAGGCAGCATGTCCAAGTGACTTCACTATTAGGCTAACCTTTTGGGTTATTTCTTCTTGGTATGATAGATAATGGACTATGGTGAGAAAGAATTGATTGATGTTTTATTTCTCTCTTGCTGATCCATGAGAATCTTATAATTATTGTAGTAGTGGAGGTCGGTCATTGTGGTTGGATTTTATCTTTCGGTCATGTTTGTTAAATATTGAAAGCTAGAAGAATGGTCAGGAAGGGTAAAATCCATATGTATATATATATATATATATATATATATATATATATATATATATATATATATATATATATAAATTGCAAGAAATAGCAACATACTTTCACTTATACTTTCATTTATATTTACTACATCATTCTATTTTTTATTTTCTTTTCAAGGCACTGTACTTTGACAAAATTCACCTGCTATAGAATTGCACTTCAATTTTCTTTTGCTTTCCAAAGTCTACCCAATATCATTTGCTTTGTATTTGGATGTTATTGCTATGTTTGGGTATACATTTTTTTTAAAGTATGGTGCTGTAATAGGAAGAAATGAAAGTTAGATGATATAGTAAATAAATCAATGAGACTTGCTATTTCTTACATTTAACCTTATAAATAAAAGCATGGCTTCTGTAATTGTAACAAGGAGATTGGATGCAATGTTCTCTCCTCAGTAGTGCTCCAACTTAGACCACCTTATTATTTGAATTTTTACTCTTGGCTTTGAATAGCAATTCATATGTCACTCTTATTTTTTGTTTGTTTTGTGATCAGGGTATTGGATTTCTTAATGATCCACGCAGGCTTAATGTTGCACTTACACGTGCTCGTTATGGTATTGTCATTCTTGGAAATCCGAAAGTTCTCAGTAAACAACCATTATGGAATGGTTTACTCACACATTATAAGGTACCCTACCCTTTCTTTACTGCAGTTATCTTAAGCTGGGATAGGGATAGTTATTCTGTTTCTTTTCCCTTTAAAAATAATCAAACCCAAAATAGTGCAAAAATATCTTTAAAAGTATGTATGCTTTGAATTTAAGCACAAAAGACCCAGAAACACTTTGATTTTGCAAGTTGGTCTTTTTATGTGTAATGTGAAGACATTCCCACAACATAGTGATAGTGTAATGTGGACAGGAGCATGAATGTTTAGTGGAAGGTCCTTTGAACAACTTAAAGCAGAGTATGGTGCAATTTCAGAAGCCAAAGAAGGTATCATGATTGTTGTGATGTGATGCTTAAGCTTAAGCCCTAGTGGAAGCAAGCTTATTTATTGGTTTGTGGTTTACATGAGTCAGATATACAACGACAGGAGGCTTTTCTATGGTGGTGGACCTGGTATTTCAGCTAATGATAACTTTGGTTCTGCTGCTGCTGCTGCTGCTTCAGGAAATCCTGGTGCTGATGGAAGAAACAGTCGTTCCAGGGGTGGTACGCTACTTTTTTTTAAAAATTTATTTTATATAATTTTCGTGATTCTTAAACCTTGTGGAAGAGTGACAACTGACATTGTAGTTTTGTGTTACATTTCTCCTGTTAGAGTTTAGAGTTAAATGTAAGAAATAGCAACGTACAATGAAAAATCCAGCCAGTTTTATAGCAAAATATCTAACATCCAGATACAAAACAACTGGGTAGGGTAGGTTTTGCAAAGAAAAGAAAATGTTTATTTATTACAAGATAAGTGAAAGTAGAAGAAAGAATGGAAAGTATGTTGGTGTTGGTTACATTTAGCCCCTATAATATAATGTATAGTGTGGATAAGTAGTAAAGTATATATGTATATATGTTACAGGTCCATACATGGGGGGAGGTGGAGCAGGTAATGGGAGTCATAAAGGTAGTCTTCATCCTGCTGCATACCCAATGCCTCGGGTGGCTCTTCCACCATATCATGGTGGTCCGCAGCCGTATGCTATTCCAAGCCGTGGAGTACATGGACCGGTTGGCGCTGTTCCTCATGTTCCGCAGCCAGGTAGTCGGGGGTTCACTGCTGGTCGGGGGAATGCCGGTGGTGGTCCTATTCCTATTGGCAGCCATCTCTCACACCAACACCAGCAGCAGCAACCTATCGGGGTGGGGGGATCTAATTTCAACAATTTTCCTTCACTAGAAAATCCAACTAGCCAGTCATCAGTGGGTGGTGGTCCATTATCTCAGCCCGGATATGTTTCTAATGTTAGTGTTTTCTTCTCCCTCCATTCCCACTAAAAATGGTTGTCAAGTCCTGCCCCATATAAATATAACAAATGCAGCCTGCCTGCCTGCCTCTTCTAGATTTTGTTGGTTGAGTTGTAAATTTAATTTATGAGGACTTGTGTTTGTTTGTGATAGATGACTCAAGGGCCAGCACAAACATTCCGTGATGGCTTCTCGGTTGGAGGCATGTCACAGGTAATCTCAATCTCAACTAACGATTCTTAGTTTCTTTTATATCTGCCCAATAATTTCTTCAATAAGAACATGAGTGACTCAAAACAAATACAAACACTACTCATCTCGTGTATAGTAAAAAAGAAACAGCAACTTATTGTCTTAGAAACAACATGCAGGATTTCTTGGGTGATGATTTTAAAAGCCAAGGCTCACATGTCGCATATAATGTTGCTGAATTTTCAACACAGGTAAATAAATCTTCTCAACTCTCAACTTGTTTTTACTTGTATATATATATATATATATATATATTGTTCATTTTTTCAGGCTTCTCAAGGTGGATATACTGTTGACTATGGTAATCCGGCTACCCAGGGAGGGTTTCCTGGAAGCTACTTGAACCAGAATTCTCAAGCTGGATATTCTCGTTTTGGTACAGGGAACGATTTTATGTCTCAGGTTTGTTCAAATATCTCCACCAACTAACTAACTGCACTCAATATGTATGCTATGTTATTATAGGCAAATGAAATGATTTGCTCATTTCATGCACAGCATTGCTCAAACATAAAAGTGTGACAAGGTGAAGGTGGTTCATAAATCATAACTTACTCAACCCTACTCGTTTGGTAAAATGCAAGAAACAGCAACACAATTTGGTTTCTAACTTCCTATCAGTGTATAAGATTAATTAAACTTGGAATTGTAACTAAGAATGAAACACTGCTATAAAATATGCCTGCTTTAATTGGGTTTGGTTTGGGGTTTGATGGAATGGAAGTATGTTGGTTGGTGATGGTTTTTTGGAAGTAGAAAACATGACATGTGTGCTTGACATTGGCAGGACTACATGGGGATGGGGGGGCATGGTTCTCAAGGATTGTTTACACAAGTAGGGTTCACCGATCCATCACAAGATGAAAACCACTTTGGTGTGGCCCCCAACAATTCTCTTCAGACACAGGTTGCTTCATATTCTTATTCTATTTTACTTTTTCAAAATCCAATCCAAGGCCTTGTTTTGTTTGTTAATGCTCTCCTCAAGATTTCTATTGGTTGGTTATTTGAAAGAAAATTGTGTGAATTTGGGTTTTGCAGAATATGATGAATCCATTATACTCGCAGCCGTTTGGTCACTATAACTCTCAACCTGTAAACATGCAGCAACCACCTCCTCCTCCTCCTCCTCAAGGGCAAGGGCAGGGACACTACAATGGTTGAGGAATGAACAGGATTCCTGCCAAGGGTTGTAGTCGTCCGGCCGCTTGACTTTTGCTGCCACTATGTTTGACCAAACTGTATATCTTCTTCTACCCCTAAAATACGATTTAAGTTTGACCAATAAAAGAGATGTATATCAATGAACAACAGAGGATATGATGATGATTTTTGATGGGAAGACATGTGGTGGCAAATAATGGGTTGAGTTGAGGAAGACACAGAAAAGAAAAGAAAAGAAAAACCTCGAAAGGAAAGAAAGAGTGGGTAAAATGAATGTCATATGGCCTGGTTTTGTTGTGTGGAGGGTTTGTATTTTTGTTGAGGAGAGGAGAGCAAAGTCGATTGATTGCACACATATATAAAAATAATACACAACAGAAGAGAAAAAAGCAGGTGGTGGTGGTATTGTATTGTAAGGATTTTGTACAGGCTTTCGGCTTTCGTGTTTCATCATCTATCTAACCCTTGTGCGTAACAACAACCGGGACATGTACATGTGTCATTACTTATTTTATCAAACAACCAATATTGCGCTATGTTTTTTGTTTGTTGTGGGATGGATTTAGGTACATGACTCTTGTGTTTTGATTGATATCATCTTAATTCTGAGGAATATTGTGTACTATATATATATATTTCATCCTTCATATGATTGGTTTCTTAGGCTGTGATGTGCAAACTTTTTTTTTTTGATGATGATTAGAGCATTATGTCTTTTTCATACATGACAGATTACAACATCTTGTACTTCCTTTGATCAATACATCCTTAATGCAAAATATGGTGTCTAATGTTTGTTACGCAAGATAGAACATGTTTGTTGTGTTGGGGATGTGTTGGGTTGACACCG